ATCACGGGTTCTGAAAGGGTCCATATATGGGCTCTCTTCTTGCTCACAGGATGATGCTTGAAGCGACCTTGCGCGGCTTAACAAAGTGGGCCCCCCCGGCCCCATTTGCAGACAGAATGCCTGTATGACGGATTTGGAAAACTTGAAAAAATCATAAGAATTATGTGATTGACGCAATTCTTCTTCAGGCGCGATGGTCTTCACAGCAAGCCATGCACGGCATAAATAGAAAGCATGGGGGGGGGGGGGGGGGGGNNGGGAATAGCAGCCCACAAACCCAATGTACGTCTGCATCACTCTGAAAGGGTCCGATGGGCATGGTTTTTGCTGGCAGGATAATTCTTGAAGCGAGCCAACAGTTCGCCTGTGGGATGAGGTTTTGAAAACGGGTTGCCGCGGTAGAAGGGGGTGCTTTTTTTGCTGTTTGGCCCCAGCAGGCCGTTCACTCACCTGCTGGTATGCCGGGGCTTCAGCTGCAGAGCGGGGGGATTAACAAAACACCCGCTCCCGTATTACAGACTCAAACATTGAAAAGCTGTGAAGAAGAACAGTCTCGCAACGTGGTCTGCTTGCCACACTCATAAATAGAAAAAATCTATAGTTCAACAAATTTATAAACGGACGGAAATGAACAAATGAATGAATAAGCAAAAAACGAACCAAGACATGAGTTTATGTTTAAACTTGTACTTACACATTTAAGTACATGAATAAGTACGTATATGTACATGTGTATACATATACATATAGATATTTATTGTCTAGAAAGAAAAACCAATCATCGGAAGACGAAACTGCCCAGGGTGAAAACTCCGAGTGTACATGGCGGGATCCAGCAGTGCCTGGAAACACTGAGGCTCAAGCATCAGCTCACTGCAGAGAAGCTCATCAATTTGCAGGATGAACGCCTTGCTGGAACGATGCTCGGGTTAATTGTGTAAGTATGCTACAATATACCTTTTCCGGTGCATTGATGGGACGTCTGCTTCTTATGACTGCCCAAGAAGCAAAAGCCACAAGCGCTCTCAGCAAGATTTGCTCCAAGGAGCTTTGCCAACGCTCACGAGTTACAGTACACCCCAATTCGCCAGATGTTTCCCAAGGCAATTCGCGTGTACTAGGTGCTACAACGGCACCCCAGACCCTAAGCCCGAAATCCTGAAACGAACTCGAAAAAACCTAAGCCGGTACCCCGAAGCATCGAGCTGTTTTCGACCCGCCAAGCAAGGTTATCGGTTTGGGTCGCCAAGCAAGGTCATCGGTTTGGGTCTAGGTAGGACTGCACATTTACCAACTTGAAGGGAGGCTTCTTACTTCACACCCCTGCTAAGCTCGCGAATTAGCCGACAGCCGCTGAAAACCAGCGCCCCGTGCTGGCGAGTGGAAATGCAGTTTCGGGCAAATACCAACTCCAAACCCAAATCCGTAGCCTGAAGCACCAAAGCCAAGATGCCAGAGCGACAGAGTTGACAACCAGGTCGTCAATCGTGGAGGTCTCCTTGAGGGGAGTGCTTTCGCGACTAGGGCTTTTAGAGCACAGGGCTTGGTATCACATGCTGCGGCATTGGGGCACACCGGAGGAGGAGCTTGGGGCTCGGGGTTTAAGGATTTGGAGTTCGGGTTTATGTCGGGGTTTTGGGGGGTTCTTAGAAAGCTTTCGAGGTTATGAAAAGCTTAACTTGCGCAGGTGTTCGCTGCAGATCGCCGGGGGGCCGGTCAGACTTCCAGGTTGGCCCTGGCACGTCAAGTAGCGACAGGAGAGCTCGACGCCTCCCGAAGGCTAAGCCCCTGAACCCCAAACTCAAACCACTCGAGTCTAAGCCACGAAGCCTCACAGCTTAAAGTTCGATGGCGTGAAATGGCGCGAAACCCAAAGAAAGCGCACACTGGTCTCAGACAAGGAGCCATGAGGAACGTGATACCAGCTTGGGCAGTGAGGCTCCAAAGAAGCAGTTTCGGAAGAACCACCAAGAAGATATTGATGATCCTCAGGGGCGTTACCATGCCTCTATAGGGTTTAGGACATGGATTTTTTTGATGATCCTCAGTGGCTTTACATATGCCTCCTGTAGGGTTTAGGACCTGGATTTTGTTTTTGGGACTTCGGGGATCTATGTTTGGAGATCTAAGATTTGGAGTCGACGACCTCAACCCGAATCTGGAGTCCTGTAATGTAGGAACCTGATCAAGAAACCCTGGGCCTTTATTTGGGTTCTTTACTATGCATCCTAAATCATCCTAATATACTGGGATTATGGGGGCCAGGGTTTCTCAATCAGGTTCCTACAGTGGTTTAGGGAATCTGGGCAACAGCATTGAACAAGGCTTTGGGGATTGGGGTGCAAGTGCACAGGCTTCAAGGGATGCCTTGGACCACACCAACCGAAGCGACTACAAGAAGCCGGTACGATCGTAAGCCGAACGGTCACAGCTTTAGGCTAATATAGACTGATAGTACTGGTCACGGCTACAAGCTTGCGACTCTCGTCAATTCAAGACCCGAGTCCAGAGACAGGTTGCTGCTGTCACAGCATCCATGGGTTCGTAGAACTACTGTGTTTCCTTTGGGCTGTAAGCCCCTTACAAGAGGATGTCTTCATGAAGGGGGTCGGTTTGCCCTTTTTGCCATCAGTGTGGTGAATGACGTCGGCTTCAGGGCTTCGGTAAACGCAGAGGCTCGGCGCAATACCTGGACCCAGAGAGCCCAATACCCTTTAATTACGGAATATACCTTAAATCATAATATCAAGGCCACTATAATTTAAGGTATATTCCTTAATTAAGGGGTATTGGGCTCTCTGGGGGTTCTACAAGGGAACCTTAGAGCTTTGCTGAATTTCCTCAAACCCTACCGTCAGACCCTACGGTACAGCCTGACGGCAAGGCTCTGGGTAGTTGAAATAGCAGGACAGGATTCAGGCTCTGTGCTATGCCTGGCAATCCCTAGATCTACCCTGGGCCAGTTATGTCCGTCGTGCATCACGGCTGTAAAGCCTGAATCATAAATGCTGGACGAGAGGCTTCCAAGCAAGCGGCATTCCAGCCTGTTTGTGGGAAAGGGCCCCAAGCAAGGCTTCAATGACTTGGGTCTTAGTGGTCCCGCAAATTGCCGTCGCTGGGCGCCGAACTTCCCGGAAAGGTTCCCGTGCAACCGAGTCATCGAGTCACAAGCCTGAAACCCCCGTCTGAATGCCATCCAGGGGACGACTTTCAGCTTGCAGAGATCCTGGGCTCAAGGACTCCGAAATCTGAAGCCCAAGGCGCGGAATTCCCTAGGGTCACTCACTCAGAGTTCCTAGGATCTGAATCTTAAGCCTTTCTTTTCCACAGGCTTGTCGTCAATCCTTGCGCCTTTTTGCCCTCAAGCCCGACGCCTGGACCCCCTTTATCGGACTCGTTGACTTCTTGTGTCCTTTTTGTGGGACTGTGCAGGAGGAGATTTGTGCTTCCGTTCGAGTGAGTGGCTCAGGTGTCGGGGTATACAGCTTGCTTTCTGCATAGTTTCTGTCAAGTGGCATGTTTCTAGCTGTGTGACAGGGGCTGGCTGCAGGCTTCGATTTTTCGGGGCTTAGGGTTTATAGAACTATGCGGTCAAGGGTTTAGGCCTATGACCCCAAGAAGGTCAAGGGTGTCATGAGTGTCGCATGAATACCATTATTAGCAACTCACACCCGTTAACGGCGTAGAAGTTTAGGGTTGCTTTCCATCGAAGTGCTCCGCTCCCTTAACCCTAAACCCGGAAGACTCCTGGCCCACTCTCAAAAGCGGGCACAGCCTAAGAGCTGAAGGAAAGACTCATGAGTTATACAGTCTCTTCCTGCACCCAAGTATGACGCGGAACACTGGATGAACTTGCGATTTCCAAGCATAATGTAGGGTTTAGTAAACCCCTTCCCTGTGAAAATTATAGAAATCAGCGGTCCCGAACTGATTCCACTTGAGAATGCGTTCTGCAATCCGTTTAATCGTAGATTGATGGTTTCGGGTGCCTCCATAGGTCAACCTCCTAAAGCAGGGTTTTTCGACCCATGCTAAAGCTTGGTACCAAATCCAAACAAATCCTTTACTTGACAAAGAGACACGCAGCCACACACACACACACACACCCGCACACACACCCGCACACACGCACACGCACACGCAGACGAGCCTGGGTACAAAAAGGGCTCGAACGATTCAAAAAAGCGACATCCTAGACAAAGATGAAGCCATTTGGGTTCTTGTACTTGTCAAGGCGCCATTTCCGACCATCCGCGGATTGATTTGGCATGCTCCTGCCCCAAGCGTTACTTGGGGAATTCTTAAGCTTGGCCGTGCTGCATCGAGGATTGATTACAACAAGGATCCTGAAAACTGTTCAGGATACGTATTCCATCTGTTGAAGCTGCCAACTTTTGCCTCGTCGCGTTTCATCGGGTCCTTTCGGTTCATACAGCATTTTTCTGGCCCCACAAAAAAGAGAAAGGTTACCCAGCGGACACCTGAGATGTAGAAGCTGTACAAGCCCTGAGTCATGAGTCCTAAGTCCCAGCCAACCAAACCTGATCCCTACACCGCAATGGGGTACTGTAGTCCCGCGGACGCCTGCAAGAAGATGCAACAAGCGCTTCGACCCCAAGACGTCGTGAAGAAAGTCGTAGCTTTTCTACTGAAATCTAAATAATTTCAATCAGGATCACGCAATAGAATCAATGGAATGAATGTGTAGCTGCTTCATGGAAGGCTCCTTAGTGACGGCGACGTGCAGCGGAAAAACAAAAGAAACACGCCACGACTAGCTTGCAGGCGATGCTTGTGGAGGAGCCAAATTGACGTATTTATCAGTAGCCTGCACCCTTCTTTACATGTGCGGCAAAACAACAGGATCAAAGAGTCGAGTCAAGGAGTGTACCCAGTGAGCCCAAAAGCCCCTTAAACAAGGAATATATACCTTAAATCATAATATTAAGGCGCCTATAATTCAAGATATATTCCTGAGTTAAGGGGTATTTGGCTGTCTGGGTACCCCCATCTGGGGACCCGAAGAACAAAACTGGTGGGTAGCTTTGGTCATGTAGGAGGCATCTGCCAGTCTCCCTAGAAGCGTACTTATAGGGCCTCCGCAAGGAACCCGGTATAGGAACTCCCGAAGCAAAGCCTTCTCGGCCCAGTCAGGAACTTCGTAATCCAACCAACTTTCGGCCTGTCTTGGATGGGATGGCTCGGGTTTGCTTGAAGGTGACGGTAGGGTGATAGTAGAATAGACCTAAACCCTAAACCTAAAAACCCTAAAACCCTAAAGCCCTCAACCCTAAAGCCTAAACCCCTAAACCCCTAAACCCTTAAACCCTAAAGCCCCTAAACAGACGATAAAAGGATCAAAGGCTGTCAGGCAGGTCCCTTGATGTCTGCATGCGGGAAGGCACTCAGGACCCTCTTTCGATCATCTTTACCCAGAGAGCCCTATGCCCCTTAATTCAGGCATAGACCTTAGATCGTATTATTAAGGCCCCTATAGTTTAAGATATATTCCTTAACTAAGGGGTATTGGGCTCTTTTTCAACCCTAAACAAACTCTGTGGAACCCTTACCCTAAGCTCCGAAGAGCACTCGTCCAAACGCTGCACTCACAGCTGGGCAATGCCGGTTTAGGACTTCTTGGCGTTGGGTCTTTCGACTCTTCGGCCCCCAGAGCTGGAAGACCCCTGCAAGGGACTGGAAACTCCCGTAAAGGGCGGTTATCATATTTTTGCTATAGTATATTATCATAGTATATCATAGTATATTGTGGTATATTATGGTCTCATATACTATCCAAACTCAGGGTGTCATTTCAGGCTTGAGCCGTGTCACAGGGAACTCGCTGAACACCTTTCTGCCCAAGACGTTCGAAGACTTCACTTGAGACTAAGACATGCAATTTATGCAATAAATTCCGTTCTACAGACCGCAAGGTGCCTGCTACTACCATAGCCCATCATTAGTCTGTACTGATTCGGACCACGTCTTCTTCGACGGGGATGAGAGAGCTTCTGGGTGAATATTTCTTCGCGTGCCTTGTTGGGGATGTCCCACAGCATCCTGCCATGTACTCGCCCAAGGACCGGAAAGACATAGCGTGACCGGGTGCATTGCGGGCTTGTTGTCTTCGTTGAATCAGGCTAATACCAAGTTGCGAAATTTGTTGGCATTGGCTTATTCTTGAGAATCACCATGCAGGCCACAAGGTCTCTCTGCTCTCACAGGCAATGAACACTCAACATCAACATTTCTGCATTGCTCTTAAGTCAAAGTGTTCAGTCAGACTCACAGACATGCACTGGCTGTGCCCCTGGCTTTATAACTGATTGTAAAACAGAACTGTCGCAGCCTGAAAGCATTATCCATCTTGATTGTACAACTACGGTAGAACCTGCAGCCCGAACAAAGTTAATTCAGCATTTTACCAGCCGAGCCACCGAAGAATGTTGATGCCTGACTGAACAAACGCTGCTTGAGGTTTGAGGGTTTAGGGTTTGGGTTGTCAGGGTATGGTTCGTTTGTTGGCACCTGGGGCATTCGCATGTGTTGCATACGAAGCGAACATACAGCTCCTCAGAAGTGAAGCGTCTGGTGGAAACTGCGAGTCACGCACGGGAATATCATAACAAATGGTCTTTGCTGGATTCCAGGACTTTTCAAGCAAGTCAAGCGCGTAGTTACTTTAAATACGTCCGACTCATGCAAAACTGTAAACTGCAAAACCAACAGGACCAACATCTTCATGTCTGCGTAGGTTTTTCTCACTTTGTCGCTGCACAGCCACCCGTCTTACACCTGAGCCTTGCATACTGCAGGAATCGTGCATGGCCATGGAACCCTGAAGCACAACCACCCGACAGCAATGCACCGACACTCATCACAGACTCATCAGCGCATCCCATAAGTCCTTATCTGTTCTGGATTGGCTGACTTCTCCCAAGCCATAAACCCGGCACGAAGCCCGAAGCCAGCGCAAAACCTGAAGCCAAGTTCTGCTTATACCCCTATCACAACGCGTAAGGCTTCCTCCATATAAAAAACCTATTGCAACTAAATACTTGTGGCAAACCTATCCAGCTCCTACAAAACCATAAGCTTGCTGCTCCCCTATGGCCTGGACAAAATGCAAGCCCTGGCTCAAAGGCCCCGGCTTCCCACGAGGTCTCCCAAGAGCGTCGCTGTGAAAAGGGCACAGCAAAGCCACCGGCACGAGTAGCTCTCGATGCCGTACCTTGCTTTCGGCTTTTAGGGTTTTGGAGAATTCTGGGGAGATGAGGCTTGCATTCGGTAGCGCTGAAGGTAGACAAGCTAAGGGGCCAGGAAAGAGGTTTCAGGGTTTCGGCGCTCGAAGCCCTAGCCCCGAGGCTCTTATTCTTTACATGACTGTAATGACGTTCAAGAACAGTGGAAGCATAGGGAGTCGGGCAGCATCCAAAAATCCAGGAAGCTTAGCCCAAATCCGAAACCCCTCCCCTTTTCCCCGCCTCTCCCCCCTCCCAAAAACAAACCTCGACGCGTTGACGCCGAGGGACTCGCCGGGGTCCACGAGCTCTTGAATCTCGGCCGCCTTCTCGGGAAACACTGCTTTGAGTGCATCCCGCACCTTGGAAGTACTCTATGGCTCAAGGATTCGGGATCCCTCCTAGGGGGTTGAGAAGGGCGTAGGGTGCCCTATAGGGGGGTTGTGGATCCGGGTGAAGGTTTTACGGACTTACGCTACTGTAGCTTCGCTTTTAAAGTATTTCGGGGGTAGGGCTCCGGGTTGTGGATTTTGGGATGTGGATTTCAAGGAACTTTAAAGGTGTTGGGTTCTAGTTGCGGTTTACGAAGTAAGGGGTCTTTGGTTGTTCTTGTTGGTGCTGGTGGTTGCAACATAATGGATGTGGCGGGGTGGTTGCGGCCAGCCATGCCTCCGGAAGAAACCCAAATCTAAAGCATGCCGATTTCCAGCCAACAACGGTGAAGTGTCTGCTCAAAGTCATGCGCTCAACCTCTCAGCGCTCAAACGCTGCCCCTACTAGCATCGGAACATCGAAGGAGACTGTGAGTTAGTCAAAGTGGTCGACGAATGGTTTCTTCCCAAACTGGGCTTGGGGGGTGTGACTTGCGAGAGGTTACATACAGCGTCAAAGGGGCCGCGTGCTGCTCTTTACTTACTTGCTTTTTAACTTGCTCGCTTACCTACTTGCCTACCTACCCACCTACCTACCTACCTACCGACCTACCTGCCTGCCTATCTGACCTATACCTCCACCACCACGACTGGTGCTGGCACTATTACTAGTACCACTATAACCACCACCACTACCACTATTACGACGACGACTTTACTACTGCTACTACTACTTCTCCTGCTACTGACACTGCTACTGCTACTGCTCCAGTTGCTGCTACTGCTACTGCCTCCTCTACTACTACGACTACAACTACAACT